CCGAGTATCGATACCATATTTGCATGATAAAGCCGCCTATGAGGCAAGCAGAGACGAGATCGAACACCCACGCCTTTATACAGATGGCGACAAACATTCTGTACGACCAAATCAATGCGGAGATCCGATACTTCGTTTTATCGAACTACCAAGTTGCACGGATTCGCTACAAGACAAACTGTATTGATAAATCTTCAATAAAGAAATTAGTATTATGTTCTTTAAATAATTTTCAATATTCGACGATTTCTTCCGCAGAATATTAGGCTATTTCTTGAACGCTGTTGACATGAAATGCATGGCACTAAAGAATTTGCGATACAAAATTTAAACAATATCTTTATTTAAGACCGTATATGTGAGAAACACAATCAATACTAGAAATTTAAAATGCCTATTACGGTCGAAGCTGGATCTTCGTTGCTTTAAATAATTCAATCTTGAATTACTAATATATATTATATATATACTTGCATATATACTATATTGTAGTCTTTTTCAAACTGCGCGCCGAATTATTTTTCCGGACTAAATAAACGCAATTAAAACTACTCTAGTAATCGCGAATTAAATTGACAAGCAAATAATAATTTGATGCTACCATCAAGCATCATATATTATAAAGATGTTAATATATTAAAACTGTTAATAAATTTATTGCAAAAAATATTACCTCGGCCGGGACTTAAGGCCTCGGTGGTCTAATGGCTTAGGACGCTCGTACGGAATACAAGAGATTCGGGTTCAAGTCGCGGCCGAGGTAATATTTTTTGCAATAAATTTATTAACAGTTTTAATATATTAACATCTTTATAATATATGATGCTTGATGGTAGCATCAAATTATTATTTGCTTGTCAATTTAATTCGCGATTACTAGAGTAGTTTTAATTGCGTTTATTTAGTCCGGAAAAATAATTCGGCGCGCAGTTTGAAAAAGACTACAATATAGTATATATGCAAGTATATATTAGTAATTCAAGATTGAATTATTTAAAGCAACGAAGATCCAGCTTCGACCGTAATTGACATTTTAAATTTCTAGTATTGATTGTGTTTTTCACAAAATTAAAAATTTTACACAATTCATAATTTATGGTAATATATGGAATTTAATTACTTCTTTTTTAAAATTAATCTTATATAATATTAGATATTATCTAATTGGTTTAGAAAAAGCAAATTCTCACTGCCACAATGAAATGGTTTTAGACTATTATTGATTTAGAATAGCTTTCATTCAAAAATGTGTCGGTCAAATGAATTAATGAACTAATGAAATACCGAACAATCTCATTTTCAGAGACAAAGATCTTTGACTTTTCTGAATGTGGAGTGCCCCATCCAAACGGAGGGAGGGGTAATTTTAAAATAATATAAATATTTTATCTCTTTTGTTGTATGTACAAAGTGTATTTCTATATATATACGTTTGCCAAGTACTGTTTTTTGTCAAATCACTTAAAATTTTTTTTTAATTTGTTAAGAATAAACTATTTTTTTTTTAAATATCCCGAATTCTGGATGTGAAATTCAACACTCACAGGAGCTCTGGGTGTGGAAAGCTCCATACCCTCCATAAAGAAGTCTCTGTCTATGTTTACTTTTCATAGATTTACACTCAGAGAAAAACATAAACAATTATAAAAGCTTTTTTAATCTTTTAACAACTATAAACTTTCTAAAAGTTTTAAAGCGAATTTCACTCTAAAGAGTGAAATCTTACTCTTAAAAAAATAAAAAATTGAGCCACTCTTTTCCAAAACTGGCTTAATTTTCACTCTTTAGAATGAGATTTTACTCCAGAGAATTTAGAGAGTACAGGTGACAACTATACAAGTGTTATATGTAGAATTAAAGTACATAGTTGAATAAATTTATGTACGTCAATGAGTCAATAAGCAATTTAATCTTTACCATCTTGATTGTTAGTCTCTATGGATGGCTTGGTTGAGATGAACATATTTTTGCTTCGAGCCGGATATTGAAAGTTTTTGAAAGTCGAGACATTTAAGCATCTTTACTCTTATCATTTGACCATTTATTGCTTTTTTACTATCGTTTCGATTCCAATTTTTAACTTTGATGACACCAGTAGCTTCTTATATTTATACATATACACACTGACTATTTCATTTAATTGTTAAACATCTGGTTTACATCATGTGAAACACAATCGGAGTGCCTGCTTGGTGAGTTTTTTTTATTGAAGTGACAATTCTACTTGTACTCTGTATTATATTACAAATTAATCATATCTATCATTCTCATCAGATTATTAAATTCACCAACAATCGATCTTCCAATCGTTTGCGAGCAATTTCGTATACTCGGTAAAGCACTCATCGTGCATCGCACAACGCGATTTTTTACGCATTTTCCACATTTCTATTACTACTTGTTTCTCGATATATAATACCTATGCTCTCTTATGAGCATTTGAAGATGGCTCAAATTAACCATCGAAACATGTTATGTTACAATTATTGTTCTAACTTAATTAAATTATAGCCGAATTTTATATCTTAACTTTATAACTGTTATTTATATGTATAATCTCTTTATAACTGAGTCTTACATGCCCTTTTCATTATATATATTGTTTATTTGACATCAAGAATCCTCGTATTGATTAATTTATTTTCAATTTTTCAAAGTTATTGCTGAGTTTAAATCGTGCATTTAAGGAGGTTGTAAGGGCATAAAATACATATATTAATATTTACGCTTTAAACAAACTACATAAATGTGAAAGTAAATTGTGTTCGTAACATTCTGGTTTTATTGAGTAACGCACAATTTTATAGATTATTTATTTTATTTGTTATTAGTTTTATTGTTATAAACAAAAATTCTTAAAATAATAAGAAAAATCTAAATGTTTTTATAATATATTAAGTACTAAACATGACTTATGCAAAGTTTCATTGAGATTCATCATTAGTTTATAACAAATAACAAATTTTATTTATTTACTAAACAATTAATGCTTGCATCTCAAGGTAACTTTACATAAATATTGTTGAATTCATAAAATATTTATACAAAAAAATTGAGATTTTTATCATTATTTTATAATATATTTTCATATATTTAAATTAGAGTACAAATTAAAAAAATATTACTACTTATTTAAATAACTTTTGATCTAAATGGTCAATTGTTTCTATTTTTTTTTGTATTATTGTTAAATGCAATTTAGAATAGTCTGTGATTTTTTCAAGTAATTCTTAACATATTGCATTTTAAATGTATTTAAGAGCATCAGAGAAATAATAACAGAAAATAGGAAACACCCAGTGCTAAATTATATTAAGTTTTAGATTATAAGTTGAGAATTTTGTTTTAGATACCTTCTGTCAAAAAATCAAAGGAAAAAGAATTAAAGGCCCCCCCTTAAACCCCTCTTCACCTTAATAAAAATAATTAAGAAATATTTTAACTGTTGAGAGTAAAATTAAGATTATTTATTAACTTGTCTATCGTACATAGTTAAACTACTTTATTGTTCCAATAACTATAAAATAATTTATTTACTTATGTACATTAATTTTATACAACATAGTTGTTAACTTTATATTTTTTTTTGCCATCGTTATATGTTTTTTTCTCTGATCTGAGACGAACCTTACAAAATATTTCTTGGAATCGTGTCTGTTAAGCTCATATCAAACTACTGATTTTACAGACCGATCCAACTACCAATTTTGATTGTTAATGTATAATAAACTAATCATAATGAATCAACTTCATTGTTATTGGTCCATTATAAGTCGGCAGAGTATAGAGACAGTCGGATCGGTGTACATAGATTGTAGTCTGGGCTTTATATGCCTATCTGTTGTGCATACACGATAATTCGAAATGCTTCCAGGTATTTTTATCACTAATGATGCGTTATCCATTTTTTATCTCAAAAACAACTTATAATGTAAGATAAAATCTAGAAGAGTGTAATATTTTTAGAAATATTTCATAAATTTTATACTTGAGATTGTGCGCGTGTGTGTTTTACGCTAAAAGCAACAAAAATATCTGAAAGAGTTTCGAGTTGTATCATGGTGCACAATTAGAAACAAGTCAAACGAAAGTAAAAACAGGTTGAGTTCAGAAGAATACTTGAAGGACCTCTTAGAGGATCTTTTCGACAATTTTTCCAAGAATACCTATTGTCTTGAGCAACGTAGAAATAATCTGTGAAAGATACGAATTTCTTTTTCAACAATTAAAGACTTGGTAGTAAAATTTATTATATTTATACCATTATGTAATATTTATCTGTTTGTCAGTGTATAACGTAGTTTTTGTTTTCAAAGTTATCGTTTCTCTTTATCACTTTTATTACATTGCTCATTACTTACTTTCTGTCTTTAAACAAATAGTGTTATATGTAACATTTTATTTTTTTACATGTAACAATTTTACATAGCAGCATAAATAAAATCGAAATATAAGATTCTTAGTTGAAAATAAAATTATGTAGCGACATATTGTCATTGAATTATCCATAATCGACAAAATTGAGCATTTTTGAAAAAGGAAAAAGGATGAAAAAAATCATGTAAGAAAATGATAGGAAGAATGGAAAGAACGAGGAACGGAGAAAGAAAGTGATGTGGAGAACGCAGGGGCAAAGGAAGAAGACAGAAGGAACGAAGAAGATGAACATCGGCCGATGGATCGAACGTAGAAGGAGAGGAAAGGGTTGAAAGAGTGAGAAGAGACGGCAAGAGGGCGGACGGACAAGGAGGGAGGGTGAGACGGGTAGGGGAACCAGAAAAAATCCGGGGATTTACGCGGAAAGGGCAAAATATTCCCCGCCCAGGCTTCATTCAGCCTCCGATTATGGGGTGGCTTTGGGTGAAAAGCACGCGTTCCCATTGGCCGAGGGGCTAATATGGCGGTGTTAGGGGTTGCAAGGTGGGGCTGATGTACGCGATATTAAGGGCTGCTTTCATGTCCGACGAGCCAGTGCGTGGTGCGCCGTCGATTGACGCATTTTGAGTCGTAAAGGTGGAGAACGACGTTCGGCATATCCTCCTGTCTCTCCTCATTCCCTATCTTTCTTTCTTTCGTTTGCTCGTTTCCTTTTGCGTATGCTCTTCCGCCTGAAACGCATTCGACGGAGGCACACGCGACTCGGCGGCAGATTCAATTTGCGCGCGTGTCATACGGGAGAATCTATGATTTGCCAGTGATTTTCGTGGGTCAAGGACTGTCATTTAGTAGTGCGATTTATTTGCAAATCGCGGGAGCTTACGTCAGTGATTTCCAAAGAAGAACGACATTTACTTCAGATATGGCCCAGACTTATAATCAGAAGAAAAATGTGTATAGCATCGACCAAATTTTGGGTCATGACAAAGATGGAGGTACGGTAAAGTATCTTTCTTTTTTCTATCAAAGAAATACGCGCAAGTTATTTGTATGAGTGAATTTGAACCATTCACAGAATTCTGTATGCTCTATGTTGACTAAAATAAATTTTTCAATTATGAAACGTTTTTTTATTAATAGAATAACAAACAAATAAATATACATTTCATTTCCATTAAATCAAAATATTGAAATTCCATATATATAATACTCTGTTACTGCTCATCTACATCATTATGTGTAATTATAATGAAATTTTAAGAAACAAAAAAAAATTATTGAAGTAAGATTAAATGTGAATATCTACAATGTAATAGCATAACTTCAATGTTTTCATTGACAAAGTTTTATTGTAAAAGTCATTTGTAAGCATTATTGCTATATAAATAATGATGATTTTAATCAGAGACATTAATTTTCTAACTTTGTTCTGACAAAGTTTAATTATAAAAAAATCGTTTCTAAGAATTACAGCAATAATTGATTATGATTTTAATCGTAAACATTTATTATCGATAAATTATTCTAGCCTTTCTCGAACCAATTGTTTATCATTTCACATTATATAAAATATTATTTACATAGAAAAATAATACTTCAAAATCGAAAAACATATTTAATTCATTACATGACCCCTTTAATTATTTTGTTTATTTAATTTTTTTATTTCTCTCTCTACTGTTTCTATTATTATACAGATTTTAATTATATATATAAGTATTTTTCTTTTTAATTATCTGTTAACTGGCTAATTATATATTTAGATTGAAATTTACAACACGTTTACTATGATAAAACAATCACGTCTTCGTTCACATAACGAATGTGTACGATCGTAATGACCGTAAGATCGATAAACTTCACTCGCTTTCGGAATACTTGACTCGTTAACAAGGAAGTCCGTTACAGATTTTATTACCTCGATACCACACGTGAAAAAGAGCGGGCACGCTTTTTTTTCACTGTAACAAAGTAGGTTATCTAGAGGTGAGCAAACACTGATCGAATAAATAACGAATTAACATAGAGAATACAAACTTTCATTTAAAGTTCGGAAGATATTTACACCATATAAGATGTAAACAGAAGACTTATTAACTTTCAATTTGTTTAAGAGATAGGAGTTATATTAAAAAGAGCTTTTGATACAATTTTCACATTCCTTCGTTGCTCATTCATTTAATAGGCATTTTTAAATTTCTATTGATTGTGTTTCTCACATATACGATTTAAAATATAGATATTCTTCATTCATTTAGCTTATATATCTATCTTAAGGTGACACATTCTGGAAAATTGCGATTATTATATCTGCTTTTTATCACTGCACCTGGACTATATTAAAAATTTTTTTATCTCGCTTTCGTCAAATTTTAAATATATGTATACTTATTTATTTCATTTTAAATACAACGAGTGTATACTAGTTCAGCCATAAAAAATAGGCTTCTTATTTGATAAGAGTGCACTATGCAGTAATTATTCAAATGACAATTAACTCGTTCTTGAAGTTACTAAAGATGGCCTCGTTTTGATATATGTATGTGTAAGTAGACAGATTCTTTATAGGTATATTTTAATATAGATTTATTTATTCTCTCTTTTCAAAAGTATATATTAACAAAAATTAATTATAAATTTAGTATAAATTATTAGTATAAAGATAAATATTTATAGTTTATATAAAAATAAAAATAAATATATTTGTTTCAGTATTATCATTTATATTTTGTAATTAATTTCTGTTAATATATACTTTCGAAAAAATACTACATAAAGTCCTATTAAAATATGTATCTGTAAAGAATCTTATATATACAAATATTAACCCTTACCGTACTAATATGGGTAACTAGTGACCGAGCGATTCCTGTTCGTGCAAGTTTCTTTGAGTCTTTCGGTAATTATAAATTATACATTTCAATATTTTCCAAAGTAAAGAGTCCATATTTATTCTAGAAAGTTGAAAGTATGTTGGTGAAAATTTTTAGAGATTTTTAAAATTATTTTAAATAGGTGAAAAAACGAAGAGATTTGAAGTGACTCTTGATGGTATGGATGAGGCACCAAATTGTAGATGGTACGATAAGGGTTATAATAAGGTCATTTTTAATAGCAATTTTGAACCTTTAATGTTAATGATCTATTTTATTTTCCTCGAAAAAAAAATTTACAAAGAATTATAATATTTTTGTCGTTATTTTTCCAGAATTTTATTGTTTGTAAAAGGGAATGTACAAGTGTGTGTGCAAATAATAAGTGAAAGAAAAATACGGAAATTTACTTTAATCTCAAAAGAGGGAGAAAGAGAGTTGAGAAATTTAACTTCAACCGCAGATTGAAAGAATTGTAAACTTTGGTCCGATAAGGGAAGATACGAATCTCATAGAATACACCGCTAACCTTAGGATTGTGCGATTAAAAGCAACGTAACGTAATTAGGTCGTCGCGGGTTATAGAATCTGTGGCGACGATCGGTGTAACGTGAATTTACTACACGCTGTTGCGACACGCAAGTAGAGTAAATTGCATGCGCGTGATTAGATTGCGGAGAGGCGCACGAACGGCGGATTGTTTCGATGCGTTCACTTTTGCAGAATCGTCATGGCGTGATGAATCGTGTTATCAAGTTTAAAGAACTACATTGTTACGTGTACAGGTTGAACTACAACCGTGGCTTATGGGCAAACAAAACAAACGGCGATCGTTGTACCCCACGTTTTTATTAAATGCACGAACACGCTTTTGCCTTTTATCGCTCGAGTTATTTTTTTTTATATAATAATATTGTCTTAATAAAAGAAGAATATTGCGATCAATAACTTACTTTATAAACTGTTGTAAATGAGGCTATTTCTGGCTTTTAAGCTTCAGAGAAATAATTAGAATTATATAATTATTTTAATAACTTAATAACACCTGCAATTAACTTAAATATTTAATTTCAAAACTAGATTTTTTATGAATATATATAGATACAAAGTTTATTTTTGCAAAGCATTATTAAAAGAAAGATACAAGGCCAAGATAATCAATAAAAAGGTGTCAAATGGAAGTAAACATGTTTTATTTTAAAACGTAATGACTTTATGACTTAATTTTATACTTTATGATTTATTTATTTTGGTTTAGCTGAAGAAAACTCGGTCAGACAAAACTGTCTCATTACTATTAGGTACGTTTAAAAATAAAATTTGTGTTTATTTTTATATGATATTTTTATTTATGATTCTTTCTATTGCTTGCTGTTTTGTGGATCTTCTTTTTTTATTACTCTTCTCCTTAACTTTCTTTTTTTTTAATTTTTAAATTAAATAAAATTATGATTCAGGAAGGTATTGAGAATAAACAATTGTAATAAATAATGTTCTTTTTTAACATTTTTTTTATTAACAAAAAGTCATTTTTGAAAGAATGACAAAATACAAAATGAAGAGATCATGCGAACGCATCCTGATTTTCAGATTGTATCTAATAATTGTAATGATTGAACGATAACATTACTTTCAATGTTACAATCTAAAATAGTTGGCTTGATAATAGTTTTATCTTGGATTTTTTATCCCTTATGAAGGATATATTTTACTTAATATTTTATTTATATATGGAGAATTTACTTATTGTTTTATTTATATGCGATCAATGATAACTGTTGTAACGCGAATTTACAGCACGGCGTTAGGCACGCAAACATATGTACATGTATACTAGAAGTATATTGTCTCTGTGCAGTATACAAATACAGAAATGCTACACGTAACGTGCAAGCACAAAATAATCATACGAACAATGTTCTGGATATTATAATAAATGTATAAATTACCAGAAACGCAATTTATGTATGCTTGCAACGTTTGTATATTCTCAGACGAATCGTTTTATATCTATTACATTTGTAGATATTTTTTGGCCATGGATATTTTTACACTTATTGTTACATTATTATTTTATTACTATTATATATTTACAAAAGGAAAAGAGAAAAAGAGAACAAAAAGATATACGAATCAGGAATTTTGTATGAAATAAAATTTAATATAAAATAAAAATGCACGATAGAATTCTGTAATAATTTGAAAACGTCAGTAAACAGCTTTATTGCTGAAATTATTAAATCAGATTATAAAATCACGAATCGAATCTTTATTTGAGTCAACAGGGACCATTATCAAGTATTAATAATGTAACATACTTTATACGATTATCTATACTTTTCATTTTTGAAAAATGAATATGCATATATTATTTAAATAATGACGTGTCTATTTATTCACATTATTCCAGTGTATTCAAGACAAATATCTTCTCTCTAAATGTATGCGTTTTCATATAGGAATCCTAAGGGGCTTGTATTTTATAAATTTTTATAAACGCGCATTTCACAATATTTTTTTTGAAAACATAGTCTCGTCGCATTTTATCTCGCGGAACACTCGTGGCCGGCGTATTAACGTAAGTCTTCTAAAGGATTTTATTAGATTTTCAGCGTAAAGTCCTCGGCCACTTATAATCCGCTCCTGTCTCACGAAAGTATATTTCGTCGACTGAACGGATCGCAAATCCCTTTTAACGCTTAACGCTTAGGCGTATAATCCGCATAGACGCATAGGCGCATGGGCGTCTATTGCGAGGACAATGATTCCAAATTGGTCTAGTCATACCAAAATATTTTCCATTCTTCTCCAATTATTGTTAAAGACAAGTTGTAAAAATAAGATAAATTTAATTGATTTATACATTCGGCTTAAAACTTCGATTCTTTTTTCTTCTTCAAATTTTTGCAATTTGAGAAATGATGATTGAGCTAAATACCAGAGTTATAAAATGTTGATCATCGAGGGCCTTCAGGGAATTTTAACGTGACAATGATGAGTTCTGTTTCTCAACATTTTTAGGAACATAATATCCCAGTAAGCAAGAAACATTTTGGAACATTTCAACAACATTGTAGCAACGTTGTAACATTACTACAATGTTATTGAAATGTTCCAAAATGCTTCTTACTTACTGGGATATTATATTTCTAAATTTTCGTTATACACAATAGATATAAACATGAACAAGAAGAAACGATTTCTCCCATCTATTATTGTATATTTATTATAATAATACATTATGATTTTTTTTTCAAAGATGTTTTACTATATATATTTGAAATTGTTGCATATAATGAAAAGTTTAAGGTCCGTTTATAAACGTGATACCAAGAATAACACTTTAAGATAATAGAATTTTCTAGGAAAAAGCTCATATGGTCGAGAACATTCAAAAGGCTGAATAATATACGCGTTTAGGTACACAAAACAACATAAGATCAAAAACTGAAATATTATAAATTGCGTTCACTGATTATATCACGACTATTATTATTCTTTTTATTAATATTTTTCATCAATTGTTATAAAATTATTAATTTGTGAATTTATGTGTGAATCGTTGCGATTCCCCTCATCATCTCAATGATTATGCAGACGTTTTTATCGATGACTTTATGCCTGTAGGCGATTTCTTTGGCGCCTCACGACGTAATGATTCGCGACATGTGCCCGATCGACACGGTAAATAAATTTTTAATTTCGCTCTGCAAGCCTCACCCTCTCGACTATCCCTACTCTGCCCGAGTCTCCTGGTCCACATCAGGCGTCGGCGCACCGTAGATTTAATAAAAAGCAGTGGAGAGCTAAGCATCAAGTGGGTACTCCATTGTGCCCCAGCATAAAAACATTGAAATCTCTCTATTCAGCTTGGATTAGTACGACGATGCCTCTCTCTGTGCGTATGTGTGTGCGTGCGTGAGTGCGTGCGTGCGTACTTGTGCCGCCGCGCCGGCGGCGTACATACGTTTTCGATCGTATCCCGATTCATCCTATCACAACTGCCGGCTATGTATTGACACCGAAAAGTAGGATTAGCATTATTACGCATGAGTAGTAAATGCTTGTCTAATTAGTCCGAGCGGAGACGCATGCAAAAGGATGTGCATGCGTGTTGCCGGGGTTCTTCGTATGATCTCACGGTCATTCGAAAAGATTACAAAAGATTTTGGTTGCCGACCAAATTTGTTAAATTGAACTGCTCAAAATAACAAATCCAGGTTATAAGCCAACTAAATTAATAAGGGGCCAGAAGAAAAATCAAAGTATCTAGCATAAGCAGTTCTCTCGATACAATTCATTCGTGTTATAGGATATTTTATACATTTAAGATAACAGACATAGTTCTGCATAGTACGGAAATAGTTTTATTAAAAATATTTGACTAAACAACTTAGCAGTTAATTAAGGAGGAATGGTAAGAGTCAGCTAATTTTTATGATAAAAATTAATTCGATTTAACATTCAGTGAGATAGATTTTATTTATTAAACTGAGTATTATATATTTCGAAGATGTGGCACAGCGTAATGTGAACTGATTTCGAGGGAAACGTTTACGAAGCAGATTATAATTTAATGTGAACCTAGTCGAGGTATGTGCACGTAAGCGGATATAGACGAAGTTGTAGCTTTGTAGTTGCCGCTTCGGTCTCAGATCGTTATCCAATTATAATAGGTATATTAATCTAAAGAGCTATATGTAGTCAGCTAATTATTAATTAGCCTAGTTCGCGGTAGTAATGAGGGCGCAATCCATGTCGGTTTCATCAATAGATCGAATGTTCGAGTCGTTTACAGCATGCAGACTTAACAGTATTCCATTTATGTAAAATACTGTATTTCTCTTATATAAAATATCACGGCTACACAAGATAAAACAAAAAATTAAATTAATTATTTTCTGATAACTGATGAACTTTCGTGACATTATATTTAAAAAAAAAGAACGTGCAGCGGCTGCGTGCCATTCGAAATTCTTCGCAAAAAAGTTTGACCGCATGAAAAGCATCTCGATATTTTGTAAGGGACCTATAGAAAGAGGCTTGTCTCGCAAAAGACGGGAAAGTCAGAGAAAGATCGCGTGTGTATTATTATCAAGATTACCGACAAGGGAAAGTTCAAAGAGGAATAATAAATCGCGTGGCAATTTGTGACGCGCGCGCGCGCGTGTGTATATACATGCACACAATATATCGCTTCTTACAAGTGTCAAAGAGGTAACAAGGTTTATTGCAATGCTCGATTTTTACCGGCTACATTGCTTTCGCCGCGACATTACCACCATGTATTTTTATGAAGAGAATCCGTGAGATATTTCCACACTTTTCTGCTCACGCGAATACCGCGCTCGGTATGATATCTTCGCGGTATGATATCACATGCCGATGGCTCGGCTCGTTCTCTCTGCAAGCTTCGTTTTTAAAACTCGTTACGATGAATTTATTTTTAACGCCGTCAAGTGCCTTTTGAAATTATACGCAGATCAACCGATTTGTCATTATTTGAGCGTTCGTGCAATATCAAGCGCATTGCACGAGCGTTTTTCAAACGTTTTTTTGCGTATCGATTTGACCGTTGTAGAGTTGCAAGTTTTATGGCAAAGTCGTTGAAATATAATCGTCGTTGATAATCGTCAATTATCTAAATTTTTTTTTTAATACGAGAAATAGAATATATAAATAATTTTTTTTCTATTTATTAATATAAATTATAATAATATAAATAAGATTCTTTAGTTTATTGATAAATTAATTGCCTCAAAACTTTCGAAAAGATTCTACTACTTTATCATAAACTTTTTACCTTTCACTCATAAACTTTTACCTTTCATGCGTGATTATCCTATGATGATCGCAAGAAACATTTATTTTAAAATCAACATATCACGCGATTCGATTTCTCACCTGAAACGAATCGACAATCTATATATCCGACTACTACGTCTATGTGTAGTTTACTTTAATAGGGCTTTAAGCCCTCTCGTTAATGCTTGCGCAAAGACGAAACGAGTGATCATGGTAGGAAATATGACTGGGGTACGAGGCGGAGGGATGCGATCGCAGAAAGCCTGGAAGGGTATGCGTTGCACGGGAGGGGAGGGGAGGGGAGGTTGCAAGGCTTGTTGCTGTATCGCGAGAGGGAGAGGAGAAGGAGATGGAAGGGTGTATGCACTCGTGATATTTGCTAATCACTGACAGCGACGGCTTTTAAGTACTGTCGAACACATACGTATAATGTGCGCACTTACATTTGTAGGGTATTTCGCGGGCGTGTACACGCGAGCGCCGCCGGATGTATGGAGCGGTGCAAAAAAAAAAAGAGAGAATGAAGCGTCGGGTGAGGCTTAAAAATTGGCAAATCCGCCGATCGGACGTCATCGGCGTATCGGTTATATCGGTACCGGTCGTTGTGCGGCTTAAAAATGAAATTGCGCCCGTATCTCCCCGCCGCCGCCACCGCCGCCAGAGTTGGCATATCAGGCAAAACGACAATTTCGTTTTGGCAACGCGAGCGATATGGCTTAATCGCCTCCCGATCGCTTCCCGCGCTCAAGTATCGGACGTACCGTGTTTGACATATACGCGCGTTTAACAGGCGAGGATGCGCCAAATAAATTTCGAGGATTACAAATTCTCGCGTCTTACGGAACATAATCTTCCTTTCGATTAGTTATAAAAGTTCCTTTGTTTTGATGTCACATTGCAGCACGTTATATCTGACATGTGGCTCTAAATAAAGTAAACGTATGTTAAGAAATTTTGTGTTAAATACATTAATTCATTTAGTGCATTTTTTATTATTGGTTTTATTAATCCTTAGTGCACACACACACAATAGTGCGTTTGCATCTTGTGTATTTCTCTTCTTTGAAATACTAACAAAGAGCACCTGGCTAAAAATAATGGACTCTATCCTTTCTTTTTTTAAAAACACAACACAACAACCTTACCTAAATACTTTCTAAAGATGTTAAAGTATACGTAAAAATCATTTAACAATTTTTATATATTTGTATAAGTGATGAACATTAATTCAGATACGAATGACTCATCGTGTGTAGATGAAAAGAAATATTTTGTTAAAATGTTTTTAAAAATTTAACCAGAAACAGATATGAAAATAATTTTATTGAATTGTCAAAATAATTGTGTAGGACGCTCAAGTAGAATAGCGAGGCTATAAAAAGTTTTGACATTCTAACAATTAGCCTAAACATTCTACATAATAATTATTTGGATGGTGAACATGATAATATGCATCTGCAGCCCTGTGAATTTTTTACGGCCTATCAACTCGTAGTAAAAATATCAAATTATATTTTCTGTTTTATGAAAACAAAATATACGTTATGGGGAATTATCCGGAAGACTTTACCTATTTCTAAATACTTTTAGATATTTTAGTAAAATCGTTCTTTTCGTAAAAGTAAAGGATCGGAAAATCGTTACGTATACTAAAGATTAATATTAGATAATCAACAATATTCTCTTTTCGAAGAATTCGAAAGGTTTCGTTAAAAAGTATTCTTTGAGGAAATCAAGATGAGATCAACGTGCGCTTTAGAGTTTACGTATCACTGATTTCAGACCACGCGACATCGTCTGATGCTGTGGTTGATGGTGGCGATATGGAGCTCGGTCATCTGAGCGATCATCAGATCAACGACGCGCTGCACGATCCCTTGAATCTGGGTGAGTCCGACCGACCACGCAAGGTGCGAAGATCGCGTACAACTTTTACGACCTATCAGCTGCACGAGCTTGAGAAGGCCTTCGGGAACACGCAGTATCCGGATGTGTTCACCAGGGAAGAGCTGGCGATGAGGCTGGACCTTTCGGAAGCTAGAGTACAGGTATTCTTCACTAACAATTCAATCATTGCAGAAAGAACATAAGCCGCACGAGAAGAAAAATATTGCGGTAATGAGAGAAATTCCTTCAAATATTTAGATAGGACGATGGTAATACAAAATAAGCTGGAAAGTACACGACGACTCTTAATTTGAGAAAAGAAGGATACATGAGTGTGTTAGATAGAAAGGATTTTAAGTAATCTATGTAGGAATGCAATAAGATACCAAACGAGCTGGCAGGTATAACGTTATACGGTTTTTAATATGGAAAGAAAAAGGTATACCTATGAGTGTAGATATGAAAGTTAAATATGATGTTAAATATGAGAGAGGATTTTAATTTACATAAACAGAAATCTATATAATGTGGAAATCTGTATAATTCTTGTCTATATTGCGGGAATAAAAATAGAGATGTATAAATGAAAAATATTGTGGTAATAAGAAAAATTTTTGCAAATATTTAGATGGAAAGGTAAAAATATAAAATAAGTTGAAAAGTTTAGGTCACCACTAGGGTTATCACATATCTGGATTACAAGAAAAAAGTACACTTTTTAAGAAAGATAATGATCCAAAGATGGAATAGAAGAGGGGATATAAGTTTTTAAGCGTTATATGCATAAGAAATTATATGCTTAATAAAATAAAATTTATAGAACATTATTTTTATTGACAATTCTTATTAATATAATTTTATAAATGTACAATTTTAACTAACGATCAAAAGTTTTACGACTTTAAAAAGAGCCAATATGTACTCTCTTAAAAAAATACGGCTGGTCAGGGGCGGACCGGGACCAAAAATGTTACAGGGCAAGTGATAGTAGGAGCCCCGTATTTTAAGTAGTAAGTTTTAGATGTGCCACGCATATAATCAAATGAACAAATAAATAGCTATTTATTTGTTTAATTAAATGTTTGTTTGTTCATTTATATATTTATTTGTGTATTTATATATTTTTACATTTATTTGTATATTTATTTATTTATTTACTTAAGTATTAATAAATAGCAATTTATTTAAAAAAATATTCAAACATAACGTCACATCTTCAACAATTGAAATTAAATAGTGTCGACAAAATTAACCAGGACATCAAAAAGGTACCTGTCAGTAGAATAATCCATATGTAATGGACTCCAAGAAAAGCGTTTTCAATTTCTTTTCTAGATCTTTGTTTTGGGAGCTCATCGGATATTTGCCCGGTTGCCCGGTGGGCCAGTCCGCCTTAAATTGATAACTCTACAGTCATGATTCATGAGACGGCTCTTAATTTGGAAAAAGAGTATATTAATATACTCGAATATATTAGATAAAGAAAACCGTTTAACTTTAAATATGATGTAAAATATGAGAATTAATCTATTGTATATAAACAGAAATCCATATAATTTTGAGATCTGTATAATTCTTTTCTATATTATGGGAATAAAAATACAGGAGGTATATGCATATAAATGAAAAAAATTACAGTAATAAGGGAAATTCTTACAAATATTTAGATAAGAAGGTAGGAATACAAAGTAAGTTAGGAAGTTCAATCATGATTAGATTAGTGTTGCGAGGGAGGGAAAGAACCGGAAAAGAACCAGGAGGGGACAAAACCCGGGAAAGAACGGGAACGAAAAACATTTCTTTTCACGCTTTGAGGGAAAGAACCCATGGCCACCGTATTTTTTTTTTACATATGGCGACATTGGCGACAATGGCGATACTATCAGTTAATATGAATCAACGCGTATCAGTTATCTTAACTATCTATAGTATCTATAATATTTATATCTATGGCCTATGGTCGTAACATATCTTCAAGTGTTTATATAACTACTAAAATTGTATTTTTCTCGTTTATTTTATGTTGCTCTTTGTTCTACACAAACTTGATATATGTATGTACATACTATGTTAAGAAAAAGTTTTTTACAATTTTATTTAATATAGTAACTTGTTTCTTTAACTTAATTAATTAACTTATACTGTAAAAGCATATACTGGGTGTTTTCCAACAATGTATACAGGTGACACAGTGTAACACTGTGTCTTACGCAAAGTGTTTCAACTATGACACAGTGTTATACTGCTCGACACTGTAAAAAGCTAAGTAGCAAGCGTGTAAAATATGTTACCAACTTTTCAAAAAAGTTCTTTGGTAGCCGTACTTATTTTGCAACAAAACTTTCAAAAATCGTCAATTCTGAAAAAATTATAACTTAAGTCTAAATAAAAATCATAAATTTATTATTGATGACGCTAAATATAATTATAAGAATAACAATGAAAGACTACAATGCATTCTGGTGTTACACTATGAAACTAAACTGCGTTCAACAAGTCTTATACACAGTGAAACATAGTGTAATGTTCTATGTCCTAGCTATAAAATCGCCACTGTTGTTATTATTATTATTTGTGTCTCCTTTTTATTGTAAGCTGTTATATTTTGTATTTTTTAACATTCCATTCAAGAAATTAATATCAGATGCCATCTTCCAAGGTTAAAGTATAGATTTATTTTGTGTGTGCTAAGGATTTAATATTTTTATAATTACTTACATTAAAAAACCGGTTTTTCCCAGTTCCAGGTTCTTTTCTCGGAAAAATTCCGGGAAATATAGGTTCTTTCCCGACGATTTAAATTTCCCGGGAAATTAACAGCACTAGATTAGATAGCCATGATATGGCTTTCAATTTGACAAAAGAAAAATATGAATGTGTTAAATATGGAAGGATTTTCAGTAATTTATACAGAAATATAAAGTAAGAATACAAAGTAACCCCTGAAAATTTCAGGCACAATGGCTCTTGATTTGAGAAAGAAAGATATGAGAGTGTTAGATATGGAAGATTTTTAATCTACCTAAATGGAAATTTATATAACTTTGAAATCTGTACAATTCTTGTCTATATTGCAGATATAAAAATATAAGAGGTATATAAATGGGACGAATGTATATGTAGCAAATGTCTAATGTAGCTCAAATAACGATGAGTGTCTCATGTTCTTACCGTTATTAAATATCGTGTTTCAGAAGAATAAAATACAGTCGCGACACTTCGATTACCATATACTTTCAAGTGATATTAGTTCATACTCTTTTCACAATGACTGATTCAAATATTCCATAAATGCGGCTTGAAGAGAATGGAGGGAAAGAAGTCAGGCCAGATTTTGCCAGACAGTTGCAGAAGTATAATTAACCTTTCGTCGCTTTGACTGGACGAATTCACAAAGCCCGTGAGGCACGCGAGTGTCGTTGAGTTTCGCGCATTTGATAGTGGCAAGTTTCGTAAGTAGTTTTAATGACGAGTTTTAGATTCGGTAAGCAGGACAAAAATTTAAAAGGCTAACTCGGAGCTCGCGCGTAATTTGATGTTAAATATGAGGATTATTAAAAAAATTCGTGGCACAATAATTTTTTGCTTACATGGCGATAAGTCATGTAAACAAAAAATGCTGTATAAATAACGTTTGTAACAAAACATGCTTGAATAATTATTATAATACTTTTCTGTTTATATAATTATGAATCAAAATTTATTTTAAATGAGTAAGGAAAGGATCAATATACGGTCGATAGATCTTAGTATCTAATAAATAAATAATATTTTATATTTGTAAATTCTACATCTTTCAATTATATAAACTGTGCACCGTTTATTGTTGAACTTGAAACGCAATCATATATAAATTAAAGCTAAAATAATATCACAGTTAAATTGATCGTCGTTTGATAATAATGCTACTAGCACCTTAAAACCGCAGAAAGAGAACTTAGTTAACAAATTTATTTTGTTACTTACAAAGAATTAATTTTTTACATTTTTTGTCTTGATAAAATGGTTATATGGAATTATAAAGTGATTAATGTACAATAGCGTCGACTAATTTTCACATGCAACAATTTTCACGAGAATCGATTTATACGTAGGTTGTGCGAAATTTGAGGAATATCGTAAGCATCCTTGAGCGCTTGCAGGATTACGCTTTGGCGACTCAGCCTTAAGGCGCAAGTCACTTAACTAATTAGAGACTATTGTTTCGTGAAATATCGTGCCGCCGTTTTCCATTTGTAATTTTGTGAAACACACACTACGCTTCGAATTCGTCAATAGTTAATTTCACAGAAGAAGAACTATACCTCGTGTAGAGTAATAATCTGCTTTAGATTTTAAACCGGCGTCCTTGAAAATTCGAGTACGTTGCAGCATTGGGGTGTAATTCAATTCACAGAACGGAATGGATCGTTTCGTACGCGATCATTTGTATGTACTTTCCTTTTATCTCTCCTTTTAATACGTATTATATGAAACACAAATTAATTTTCGTAGAATGCAAGAAATATTCCAGTTTGCAATTAAATGTCGCTGTGTACAGAGTAAATAATTAAATTATATCGGTAACCCCAATTATTCGTAAATTGATAACGATAATTCGTTTGAGTGTGATGAAATTAATGGGTATATAAGTGGTATCTATATATGTGTATATTAGACGTAAATGAGTGCAGAAAGAATACTATAGCAATTATTTTTAACAAATATCAAATAAAAAAAGAATATTTTATCGATTTTCTTAAAAATATTCTCAAGTCATTGCGTTTTTAGAATCATCCGATTCGATTGTTTGATTTTAACGTATGCGACAAAGAAACTATATATTTAGAGGAGGAACGCACACTTATACGCATGCATTTTCTATACGTACGTAACCATGGATGAGTACGAGGGGTTGCATGGGGCCACTGGCGGAAGGGTGACGATGATGTTGAAAAGAGACAGAGAGCATTCCGATTGGCCCATTGTGGTACAGCGGAGCGACAATGCCGGCAATTGGCCGTCGCTCGACAAAACCGCTAAATGATCCGCCGCGGCGCACGGTGGTGCTACGGCCACTTTATTTCAATCTAGGAAATCCTCCGTATACCCCTTTCCATTCCTCCACTCACGCGCCGATTCCAGATGTGAAATTATCCCATTTTTCAGTATTAACGGCTGGCCGATGTATCGACGATCGGGCGCGTATGGTAATAATGCAATCGCGAGTCATTTCTGACGTTTCCTACGCCTCGACAAATGATTTGTCATCATCGGACATTCTGATGGAATTTTTATGAGTTACTATGGACGTTGCCAAACGACTTCTTATGAATTTATTTATGTTAAATCTGCGTTAAAAAGAAACATGTCTTCTTTTAACATTCTTTTTTTCTTATTTTCTTTATCTTTCTGATTACCTTTTATTTAAAACAAATATCATGATAATAACGATTTCCAAATTGTGTAAGTGCATTCAACGTCACGAGAAAGCCTTGAGAAACATATTATTTTAAATATTGTTAAATGGTTTTTAATAGAATGAAAATTTCTTTTAGTAAACAATATTATTTGTAGTGAGAGAGTTTGTAAAGATTTTTTTTAAAAGGATAGCATTAAATTAATTTAGATAAAACTTAATAATTTGGTAGAAGGTATATATCGAAGATTTAATTGATGAGTTATATATTATAAGTACATTGAATTATCACAACTTAAGTTTCAGGAAATATATTCTTCTTAATATTTTTTAATTAATGGTTTTTAATGGAATAAACCAATAATAAACATTTCTTTTAATAAACAATATTATTTATAGTGAAAAAGTTTATAGAGGCCCTTTTTGAAAGGGCAGCATTATGCTAATTTATAAAAGAAACTTAAAAGTTTAATAGAAGGAATATATTTAGAGATTAAACTGACAAAGCGTTATTTAAGAGTTTTATTATAAATGTGACGTAGATCGATGTACAGTCGGCAGAAATATTGCCGATTTCTATGGTAAATTGTTCGAGAGTTTAATACTGTAGAGTTATGGAAACGCGTTGGTGTTGCAAACTTTCGAGTTCGTGGTGGGTCGCTTAAATGACGCAAGGTTTGCGAGCACTTAAACGTTAGAGGCTATTCAGGAGCGATTAAATAATTAACAGCAATTAGGCAATTGAATTTCCTGCCCCTCCTCCTCGTGTCACGCAACGTTGACCTCTTTCCCGAACTTCAACATTATTCCTCTTTTCTCTTCCTTGATGCCACCCCCTTCTCTCGGTGCATCCTTGATTTTATCACGTTACCTTAATTTTATTCTGCAATCTGTCGAACAAACTTGCTAATTTGTCTCGATCCAAGGAGTTATTGCAAGTCGTCATGTTATTCAGATTTCAAATCAATGTTGTACAGTCGTGGATAGAATGGTTGCAACATCTTTTTTTCGATGAGTTTCGGAACGTAGCTTACTCACCGAACGATTGGTTCTTATTTAAGGTGATTCTTTAATAAATCGAGTTACTATAGAAATATATAATTTTTTTATATAATGAAGTTAAAGTACCGAAATTGATATATGCAGAATTCTTCGGTAGGTTAACGACGAAATAAGAGAGAAAAAAATATTGAAAATGTAACCTTTCACGTATAATTTACAATTAGTGACAGATAATGCTCGCAAACGCTTCTTTGATTAACTACACACAAATATTACCATAGACTTTTCTCAAAAATGAAATTATAATAGTTTAAAAAATTACGATTTTAATAGTCACAAAAAAGTAATAGGTCACCGGACATTCCGGAAAGATATTTACGTGCATAAGCTTGCATATATATTTAACCTTGAAAAGTTAACATAATCTCATCTTGTTTTCGTTCGATGAAGATGCAGCTCTTAATTTACTATCGTATATTCCATACTGTTTCATTAGATATACACGTAATTTTAATATTTTATCTAAATTATGTAGATATTTGTAATTTTGGGTCGGCCCTGATGAGGCATCCCAAATTTTCGGCACTTTACTAAAGAACCATCTTAAAGATCTAATCATTTACATTTAACTTTTCTACAGGAGCAAGGCTGAGTTTTGAAACTCATCGAAAAATCTCAACCGTTTTGTCCACGACTGTACATGATATTAGGAGTGTGATTTAGTTTTAAGGGTTTTTTTTTCTTAAAAACTGATTTATTTAAACAATATATTACGTAAACGTTTAATAACTATTATACGATCAATATTTAATTCTCTGATAAGTTCTGAAAGTGGATTGTGCTGAATTTTCGCTCAATAATGCTTGCAAATCTGCATTTTCTAGCTTTTGTCGTTAACATTGAAATCACCACATTTGAATCAACAGAACCAATATTCACATGTCTTAATTGATGGAGCAACATCACCATAAGTTTTTATTAGAATTCTATGACCTTCAGCCAACGTTTTCTTCCGATTAAAAAAACAAAAGCAACGCATATAAAAAATGCTTTTTAGGAAACTCCATTTTTTTAATGGTATAAACACGATGTTGACTGCGTTTATTGTTAGTAAACGACTAAATATCATGGAGTAATATTAAAGCATTAAGAAATAATAGCTGCGATTGAAATGTCTTCGACAACACTGACATTAATGCCATCTCTTGCAAAACCCTTAAATTACACTTTTAATAAATTTTATACCTTTGTAGTGTTTTAGATGCATGCCTTTTTCAAAGAAAAGACGATCAATATATCAATTTGTGATAAATTGATGATAAATTGACAATCAAGGTGATTATTATTTTCGGTTTCAGTTTATTATTGCACTTTAAATTCGACCAATCGAATTAGTGCGCACTTTATAGAATTGAGAAAATGTATTTGTAAATATAAATATATTATTAAATATCAAGATCTATTTCGATCAAAAATATAATTCTTCGTTTTATTTGATTTATTCTTATGGATTTAATTTTTTAGCGATCTAATAAATTCATTTACGAAGAAAAGAATTATTCTGATGCGAAAGAGTATTCGACTTTAATTTTATTATTAAAGGAATCGTAAAGCTGTTTGTTACCGAACAAATTTTTGTATATAACAATTTTTTTTCTTCTTTTACAGATTTGAAAATCCTTTCTCAGAATTAACGTATACGCATTAATACGTGTTTATGAAGTGGAGTTTATGCCGAGAACGACAAAAAATTTTTCTTAAGATTTTAATTTCGAAATTTTTTATCGTTCTCGGCATAATAAACTCCACCTCCCAGACACGTATTAATGCGTATACTTTAATCCTGGAAAAAGATTTTCGAATGTGTAAAAGAGGAAAAAGATAATTGTTATACAAAAAAGACGACTTTAGTTTTGGAAAATTTTTTTTATTAGGCCTTTGATTATAATTTTGCAAGCTCAAGATTGTTTGTGCATGTCATACGCTTCCGAGAAAGATATCATTTGGTACGTACGACCTATAGAATTTCTGCACTAAGGGAATTATAACCTGAGGTGACAGCTGTAAGAGCTGAAATAAAGTGAATTTTTTATTTTTTCCTTTATTTTCTCGTTAAATTTAGTGTGGCCGGTGTTTCTTTTTGTGTGTATCTTTATTGTGTAAAAGGATTTGGTGATCTATAAAACCATAATTCGGAGAAATTGGCAATCTGCAATTGTCGGTAATTCCTGTTGGTTTAGAATCCCCTTAAGAAATTTAATCTCTTATATAGGTATTATTCATAATAATTATAATACTAATTATATAAAACTGCTAAATATTAATATTATTATATGCTTAAGTATTTATCGTCAATTTATCTATATCTATCTAGGCTTTTTTTATATGTTTAAATATATATTCACATATTTTTATATATTTTACTATATACGTTACACAGTTTTCTTTTTCTCAGACTAAAAGTCTAATAAAATCTTTCTCCTTTTTTTCTGTTTTCTTTTCCGCTGTCACTTCTGGTACTCACGAAAATTCGTAACAGCTCGGGTGGAAAGCGAAAGTATTTATACGGCAATCGGACCAACGATACGGTCGTCAGGGGTATATCGTCAGACGAGAATAGAGTCGGAGGCAGGGGTTGCTAGCACTCAGGGATACGAAGGAAATCAGGATAATTGTTAACAATTAGCTTAATCAACCTCGAGAGCAAGCTTTTGTTGTTGGCTGCTCTAATACGTGCGTTTGGGGTTCTCATGGGCTTCCATTTCCTGCCAATTTTGGATCTGTATGACGAATATTTTAATGTTCTGATAATTCGTAATCAATAGTGATCAAGAATTATTTTTTAACAGTTGAATTGAAAACAAATTGAAACTATAATAATGTTTAAATTTTTAAAGGTCGTAATAAATTATTTCGCAATGATTATACAATAGTTTTATTGCTAATTATTTGAGATTGCGTTGAATGTTTATCTTACAAAGTATTCTTCTTTTGCTTTAGGTGTGGTTTCAAAATCGGCGTGCAAAGTGGCGCAAGAAGGAAAAAGCTTTAGGCAGAGATACGAGTTTTATGCACGTTGAACAAGGCGGTGAGTTGAAAGATAATAATTTAAATTGATCTCTGAAACAATACGATGTCTAACGGAAATAAAAATGGAAACTTTTAATTTAAAAACTTTTAAAAAAGCACTCTTGTGTGATTGTTAATTATTAGACATTTAATTTTACAAAATTATTTGAAACATAATATGATTTAAATGTTTCTCCGTGTCGCATAATTTGTGTTACCCTCAAGTTTCTTTAGATAAATAATGTTTTTTAAATAAAAAATTAGGTCATTTTTCCGTTCTTTTTCACAATAGTAAATTTTTTCGCTGCCTTTTCCTTTTTTCTTCGCTTTTCTTTTTTTTAATAATTAAATAATCGTGAAAGCTCATTTTCGTCTATCGTTGCTCCCTCGCTTTATAGTAACATAGTAACGTGTGCGTTACGCTTGCTAATATGTACATGAGAGGACGATAGGGCGCAAGTTACGAAGGGTAGATGCAATCGGCGACAATTACGTCTAATTTTAGTGTTGGCTGTCGCAGCTATCACGTGCAAATAATATAGAATAGAAATCTGGTCGCAATTATTTTTTCATGAAACATTCTGAATAAAGCTTGTACATCGAATGGGTAATGTTAGCAGTAAAAATAGTCTAATGACTTTTTAACCCTGCAGTATTCCTATATCATATAATGATGATTAGTTAAATATAGTTTATTAACCGCATATAATGGGAGATCTTCTCAATTTCTTCTTTTCGTATTTCGAATTCAGAATAATGAATATAGATTTTACTCAGAAATATTCAGCAAAAGTAACAGAAAAATTTATATTATTTTCTAATAAGCAAAAAATAAATAAATATTTTATTCATGTATTATTCTTTAATATATCAACATATAAATATACAAAATGCTTATTTAATTATGCTTTGCTTTCTGAAAAATAACTATAACAAATCCCTTTCATATTTTCTAATGAAAAAAAAAAATAATAATAAAGAAAAGAAAAACGAAGATTGCTTATCCCAATTCAATAATCACCTAATTTTAAACTATCATTTAGGATGTTTTATATCACAATTAAAGTTATTATTATTGACATCATGTTATACATATATGATTAAATCAATTAAATGTTTTCCAGTTTATATTGGTATTCGAAAACATTATGGATATGGATTTAATTATAATTTTCTGAAAAAAATTAGTAAAAATCGAGTAAATATTAAACGGAATAAGTAATTAAATGGCTTATTATAACAGCATTAAAAAAATAATAATTTCAATTAATATAATTTTAACTAATATACGTTTTTTATTGTGAGTTTTCGACAGAAATTGCTTATTTAAACAATATAGGGTAACTCCGGTACATACGCCGCGCTGGGATTTACGCCGCGGAAGTAAAAAAAAATAGAAGGAGTAGGGGTAATTTTCTCTCGCAACTACTCCGTTACATGCCTTTATTAGCACTGAATTATAATTTCAGCTTCTTACTGTGTTAATATTAATAAAATTATTGCGAGTTGAATCGATTTGTTACTATGTGTGTAACAAGTAGCATCATCATAAATTATAATCTACATAAAATGATCACTATATAAGGCGTGTAAAAGACCTAGTGGTTATTTCTTGATATATACGTGTAGAGGAATAGTAAAGCATGTTGTATAGAGCAAAATACAAGTGCTTTGCTTTCATATTCTTTGTTTAGTTTGTTGAAACCCTTGCATTTTTGCCATATATCCCACCCATTATCTATATAGGGTAACTCCGGTATATACACTGAGAAAAAAATGCTGTTGATTCAATTAAAGTCTATATTACGGGCTGTCACTAACATAAGTAATTAATTCATGTACATTTTTATTGACACAAAAAGGCATAAATTATTATTTCAATAATCAAGTCTTTATATCAATAAAATATACGCATGAATTAATCACTTATGTTAGTGACAGTAGAGAATACGAAAGCAAAGCATTTGTATTTTGCTCTATACAACATGCTTTACTATTCCTCTACACGTACGTATCACGAAATAACCACTAGGTCTTTTACACGCCTTACAGTAATCATTTTATTAGATAATCATTTTATTAGATAATAATTTATGATGATGCTACTTGTTACACACACGGTGACAAATCGATTCAACTCACAATAATTTCATTAATATTAACAGTAAGAAGCTGAAATTATAACTCAATACTAATATAACGTAAAGACATGTAACAGAGTAGTTGCCCCCACTCCTTCTATTTTTTCTGACTTCCGCGGCGTAAATCCCAGCGCGGCGTATATACCGGAGTTACCCTATAGCAAAAATGCAAGATTTAAAAAGTTTATTTTTTAATACGAAAACTAAATATTTCGGATTTCTAATATTTTTTTCATAGTAGTAGACAGTACAAAGTTTTTACTGATAGTTCGTTTATTTTAAACATAGTAAATAATTCTTAATAAATTAAATTTTTGATAGGTGCGGCGTATATACCAGAGTTACCCTATAAACAAAGATATACATATATAGTTTTTAAAAATACATCTAAAGAAATAAGTAATAATAAAAAGCCAATGAAGAGTTCACCGCGCAGTCGTCAGTGCGTAAATCATATTTATTAAATATATAATATTAAAAAATGTTTACTGTGCAGACATTTTGACCAACGTTTTTTCGGTTTCTCCCAATGTAAAAACAAATATAAAATAATTTTGTTAACTCATAATACAATTTAAACGCATTACTAGAATATATATAAATATTGTTGAGTCATAATCACGCGTTAAACGTGCACAGAAACTTGTATAGAATGATCACCTTGTTATTGCAATATAGTGTAAGTTCCTAGAAATTTTCTAAAAGCAAGGTGTTGCGTGACAGTTTATCAGTGTATCAAATGACAAATAAATCAATGTATAAACGCCAATCATTTTTAGTGTAACGCCAAGTAGTGTAACGCCAATTTGACATTCTAAAAAAAATTATTGTGACTTTGGTGAATACAAATCAATGAGAAATTATTGCGACTGTGTCGGTTAAGAGGTAAATCAGTATAATTAAACTTTTAAATGCATATTTAAAGGTTTGTGAAGAATAATTACTTAAAAAACGAAAATATTGTTTTCTTGCTTTAAAATTGACACAAAAAAATTAAAAATTATCAGAGAAAGAAGAAAACTATTTTTCGAATTGACAGAAAGTTATTGATTAATCAAATAATATTGGCAAAACGATTATATTCTGATTAAATGTCACTTTTGCTTCACAATTCTTAAAAAACCACTCTTTTTAAATTATGATTATTTGGACGATTTTTTTCTTAAGAAATATTTTTTTCAGAATTGTGATGATTTATGAAATTAAGTTAGTTCACCTTTGATAATTAATAAGGTTTACTTAATTTATTCATGTCCTTGAGTTGTATTATTTTTTAAAAATAAGAGTGATATATCGAACAATATTGATATAAAATAATATTTTATAACAAATTATATTTTTTTACCGCTGGGGTGTAAGAAACACCTCGGATCATTCTGGGTTAAAATAATATAAATTGTACGGAAACGAAAAGTCGATCTGGTTTTGTCCGAGAAAGAATTTGGAGTAACATGAAAGGAGTAAGCAAGCCCATCGGAATTTTGTGTTTACAGGTGTTAACGAGTTGTCCCTTCACGCACGGCTGTTGCAAACGGCGAGTGGCGTTCCCGGCACGGATTCCTCGGGTCCACCCGGGACAGGCGCGTTTCCCTGGTTCATACCTCCGGTTTTCCCGTCGCCCTGGCCACCGAGCGCACCCAAGTTGCCGCCATTGCACGCGCTCCTGTCGCAATACATCGGTCTGCCTTTGCCGCAAAACCTGGCGTCACTCGGCACGATGCTTCCGGTCGGCCTGAATCCGAGCTCGTCGCTAAATCACAGCAGCGTGAACGGACACTCCTTGGGCGGCCATTTACATGGTCATCCCTTGAATCTCGGAGTGCAGAGCATACCACAAAACCTAAGTTCGAAGAATGACAGGGAGGAGGACTCGGCGTCGTCCGACGACGAGATCAGGAAGCAAAGCGCGGAAGTGCTGAGAGTAAAGGCGGAAGAAGCGCTACGCAAGGCGGACAATTAACTGTGAGAGCTTACGAATTTTTGTAAATACCTTTGTAAAGACCTCTTCGGGTCATCCAAAACCCGTTTGATACTAACGTAAACATTTCGGGCGTAAACATCCACGAACCTATAGTATCCTGTATGAGTCAGAAAATTATTTCGTTTGTCAGAGCTGCAAGAGTATGGAGTCGTGTCAATCATACAGTTCGATAGGCATTTTAATATGCGATGTATCCCGGGAGAAAACGCTTTTGCCAATGTATTCTAAAGTTAAAAAAAAAGAAAAATTAGATAAAGGCTTTCCATTACAACAAATAATCCTTTTATTTTCGTGTTTTCTTCCGGGACACTGTAGAATCTGAACTTAAGATTCGAGTAACGTGTATTCACTGTATTCTAATAGAAAACAGACTACATTTGATACATTTGGATATTTGTTATGATATATCGGTTAATGTTATTAATTTTGAACATATTCGATCAGCAGCTTAGTCCAATCGATAAATTGTTCAATGACTTACACAACTTCAGCGCTAATTAGACATTCACATAAGACGCAATAATAAGTTTATCAGTTATAAAGCAATAATAATTAGTTGCTGATTGAATATACGCAATCTTTTTGATTTAGTCATAGAGACTTTAAAATCGTGAGAATTAATTTATTCAATTACGTTCTTAATTAAAAAAGACTCAAGGCAAAAATACAAATACATGATTTTGAATTAATAAAGACTTTTAGTGAAAATAACTGAATTTCTCCAGAGATATTCAACAAAAATAACAGAATAATTTATTATTTTTTTTATAAATAGAAATTAAATGTTCCATTCATGAATTTTTTTCAATTATATATATATATATATATATATATACACACAAGTACAATATTTCGGAAAACTACAGCTAGCAGTTTATGAGGAGAAATTTGATTGTTTATTTTTATTCGCGATTCAGGGAAAAAACATCGAAATATAAGATTTAACGGATAGCAATATACATAGTGCAACCAGATATCATTATATATAAAGTTATGCACTATTATTTGCGTTGTAATTATTATTTAGCATTATACTACGTTTTTATTTGACGATACGTAACGATCTACTTCATCCATATCAGAGATTGATTATTTGTCTCTCAAATTCCTAAATAAATCAACATGTAAGGCCTGATTGGACTAATTGTTGTTAATTATGTTATTGGACCATTGTTTAATAATTTATAAATTGGATTTAATTATGTTTTAATTCTTTAAAAAAATTTACAAAAATTGCGATATATCATATTCATCCTGTGTCACAACTGCCTTATCCCGTATGTAAAAAAGACAGATGAGTGCAGCTGCGTAAAATTTCTTCCAAAAGATCAAGTGCCATACAGGATCGCCGGAGTACGTATTAAGTGAAGAAAGAGAGTGAGAATGAAAGAGAGAGAGAGAGAGAGAGAGAGAGTTTTGTAAAATATATGTATCATATGGACATTAGATATATATAATATCATGTATACATATGTAATATATATATCAATATAGACTTTGTGTAAATATGTAGGTTTACTCATTAAGTTAAAGAAATATATTAAACTTACAAAGAACCCTGCAGAATTGTATTTATTTCGAAACTAACATTGTTTCTCAACACAAATTGACAGCCGATCTCGAAATCAATCCTTTCTCAAAAGATGAAAGAAAAAGTAGATGTAAAATTTGAGATGAGTAATTAATTAAATAAATCTTAAATATTATTTATTTCTTAAATAATCAGAATGGGTGTAGTTTTTAATAAATTAAGAAAAAATAAAAAGTATATATATTTAGTTAAATAAAGATAATGGATTTAAGGATTAGTGAGAGAGAGAGAGAGAGAGAGAGAGAGAGAGAGAGAGAGAGAGGAGAAGCACACACACTTACAAATAAAGTGCTTGGAAACATCAAAAGCGCCTGCAACTGCACACTCGATCATTTTTCATTTATATATTTTCAAGTGTTGCGGTACACATACTATTATAATAGTCTTTACTAGAGTATCGCGATTAATAAGCCGCAGGTGCCACGACGCACCCGTCGATTCGGGCTTCAACTATCCTAACTATTCGTCCTGTCCGAGAGCAATTCACACGGGGGTGAGCTACAAAATCGCTTCCGCGTCATTAATCATGAAAAGATTTGGCATATTGGCCGCGTCATTACGACGATTTCCTGAATTCCGCGCAGCTGGCGGTATCCCCGCACGGACCCCCGAATTCCCACGGGCCCCGAGCTGACAGAGCTGACTGTGTCGCGCCGCGCCGCGCCGCGTGCGTATAATCGCGCACCCCCGCCTCTCGTACCCTGTTTCCCCTCTCTGCTCGCACGCCCCGTTCCAACCCGAGCTCCGCATTTTCCGCCGTTGAAAGTGAATTTCATTCGTGGGCGGGAACGGGCGCATCCCGACGTGAATGCCGGTAACACGCACAACGGCAATTACAATCCGGCCAATTTATCCGCGTTATCAGAAATTCATCTGTCGCTAAGGGCGAAGGCAGCACGACGAATGCGAGAGTTAACGTTATCACCTGGCGTTATCGCACCGGGAAGGTAATTATTGCACCACCTGCTTGGGACGCGCGATCCGCATGGACTCGATAGAGTACACAGATAGCGCGGCTGGGTGAATGATATTTCATTTTGAAGGATTTTATATCGAGCCTTATAAGAGATAGTTTTCTGATGACTATTTGATTGTTGCTTCTTAATAATTTTTAGAAAAAATGCATATTGTATATACATAATAATATAATATTTATAAATATTATAATATGTTTTATATACATATGTGTGTGTACAATATCGACAAAAACATAAATGGCAACACAGATTTTGTCGCGATGAGTAGGTCCACCTTCGTAGATTTTTAGGCGAAGAAACTCAGGATGGCGTACTCGAGAAACAGCGCAGACATTTTATATTGTCACATTAGGTGAAGTACGCGTACGCTTTCGAAATGCTCCGCTTGCGTTTTAGCTCAACGACCGCGTCGCATAATGCCGCAAAGTTCCGCTAAATGGAACCACTAGAAGCAGGAGAAAGAAACGCTCGAGGTCCACTTCGCCCCGATTTCGTCCGTTAGATGGTATCGCTGAATTTCGGTTTTGATCCTACAATTTCCCGGTGTCTTTGAGATATTCGGCATAAATACGTTAACCTTCTTTACAGAGAAATAATGTATTAGAAAATATACTGATAACTCTACAATAAATAAGCATGTTTAAAGAACAAAATCTAATACCTTTTACATTTCATCTTTTTATTTCACGTTATAACTTATATAATCTCAAAATATTTTTAATATAATTTATAAATTCCAAGTATTAATAGGTTTCACATTCTTATTTTAATAAGATTAAAATAAATTATAAATTAATATTTCTTTAGAAACGTGTTATATGTACATACAAGATACATATAATTGTAATCACCTTTTAACAGAGATAGAAGAAAAATATCTCCTGCTTTAAGACTTGTGCGCTTGTTTCAATAGATTTCCACTAATCGCGTTTCTCACTTTTTTTACAAAATGTTTCAGTATAGATGAAGAATTACAACTGAATACCACTGATCGCGATCGCGGTTGTTACGAAGGACAATTAGATTAAAAGCAGCGCCTCTCGCGGCGGCTTGAGATCCATTAGTGCCCATTGTGCCACCCCATTTACACCCCCACCGTCCATCCCCTATTGCTCCATGCCCTTCTCTCCGGAACAGAGCACCCGTCTCGAAGCCAGGTACTTATTCTCAATAGTAATATGCTCACTTCATATTTCTACCTCTTTGTCCTTCAACGCTTCTGTCTCCTAACGGAGTCTCCTTCTTTTCGTTCTTCTTCTGCATTTCTTGACGGCAGTAAAAATTGCCGATAGCGATGCCGTTTGAAAAGATTTTGCCATCTTGCAAAAATTATCGCGAAAACTCGACGTTAATGCAGCCTAAATAATTTCGATTATTATTAGTAAATCTGTCGTGATAAAAACCAACATCGTAATCATTGATATATTAATTTTTTCTTTGAATCTATCATTACAATTACGTGTTTATTAACTAAATATTATTAAAATTTTTTATTTTTTTCATACAATTATATATGATTGCGCAATAAAATTACATAATAAAAATTGGAGAGAAGGATTAGAATTATAAAATCCTTCTAAAGCATAAAATTTAAAGCAACTATTCCAAGACTGTGACATTCAAGATAAAATATAATAGAAAGATTTTTGATTAATAATAACTATACATTATTTTCTAATTAAAATGTATATATATGACGATTTATAAATAATAAAACTTTTTCAAACTTATTTCCAATTTAATGTAATATTTGTAATAAAATTATGTATGCAGACAACTTTATTTAATAAAGCTACAATTTTACGTATTAATTTGTAGAATTTAACGCGTAATAACTCGATATCTTTCCATTTGATATTTTGTCCATGTAAACATTGCAGCAAACATTATTATGGTTTCTACATAAACTTCATATAAATGACTCGTGCAAAACCACTGACTAATTTGGGTGTAAAGTCGAAATAATATTCCTAAGCACGTATATGATACATTCGCAATAGCTGATGCTTACCGCGATGGTTTTGTGTAGGTGGAGATATAATGCTTAGAATATCGCACACGGAAACGTTGTGATTTTTTTCGGCGCTAATAATTCGTCGAGTGTCATTATCCGGAATTAACGTTGCCTCCACGAAATAATAATCACTCTCATGCGAGTACGCTCGATCTGATGTAGCAGAATTCATTTGAAATTTGAAATATTAAAGCATATACAAGTGAATTTCCGCTTTTATTATCGTGCCAATGTTTATCTGTTTAATGTTCCGTTAATTCACGATGTAATTAATCGATAAGTGTGTACTTCACAACAAATAATTCCATTCAAATCGTATTGTAACGTCCTTTAATTTCGTCGCCTACGTTCTGCCGGTCAGCTGATAATGAATCCGATCGATATCGCGCACAGCTGTGGCAGATCGTTACGAGACTGCCGACGGGAAGAAAATCAAAGATCGTTTCCAAGACGCGATTAACGAGTCGATATCTTAAGTACAAA